CGGCGCGACTTTTAAACTGTGATCCGATTTGCTGAGGTTGTGTTAATAAATGTACCCAGTGATTAAAATTAACCGAGGGTGAAGGGTAAAGCGCAAGCACAGTGGGAGAAATTTACGGTATTACGGCACACCAATATTAAAAAAAAAAAAACAGGTTGAGTCAGTTTAGCCAGCTCGGCTTTTCTTACACAAAATACTCTTTCAAAAAGTCATTAAATTAATTATTTAATAAGTCTCAAGTGCTCTCTATTTTTTTTTTTTTGTAATATGTAAGAAATGTTACCCTTTTCTAGATTAAAACCAGTAAAATAAATAAATAAAATAAAAGGGCTGAACTTTGGCTTATCCACCTCGCTCTTCACCTGACTACAGTAAATATCTACTCTTATTTCAAGCAACTTTACGGTCCCTGGACAATGTAAATGCATAACAGGCGAACTTGTCAGGAAGACGGCCTACCTGTTTGACGTCAACTGCTCTCAGCATTAATTTCCTACGAATCATTACTTAAACCGAATATCTGGTCCATTGCCGGTCTGGATGATCTGGCCCAACTTCGACAAGAAAATGTCAAACTCATTTATTCGCCTCGCATGTCCCCTGCTCATGCAAGTGATGGAAATTACAATTATAAAGCAGTATCTCTGCCACTGCCACTGGAGCTAGAAGATGCTCATTTCACCTTTACTTCTTTGGCTGTCGAAGCGCAGCAGGCACTCATGAAATCTCCCGTTTGGCGATCACTAGTACTTGAAATCTGAATACGTTTAAGTTGTTTCGTTTCGAATGATAACCTTACCTTAAAACCACTGCAAAAGAATCTTACAGATTTTACGTCATACCTTAAAAGTGTACGCATACCGACACACATACCCAAATACATAAGTACACCTGTGATGTCGTAACACATCCTCGCTGCATTCTTTGACTACTTCTTCCCTCAGCCAGTCGATTTGTCAGTTCATTTTGTTACGCTATTATTGTCGTGACAATTCACGACCTGACATCATTGCCGTTGCATTGGAAAATTATGCAAATATCCATGCTGCAGTACTCGTAAACGAAGGCTAAAAAAAAGGTATCAGCCGTTACTGTTTTGATTTAACCATAAGGTTAAGTATAAATGTTTGCATTGTTTGTTTTTTTTTGGCTGCAGGTACAAGAAAGTGTCCTTACCTTACAAACCAACAGTATCCGTTTAGAAAGTGAATTTAAAAATATTCCTTGAATACTTAACTACAACACACTGGCCACTTCTAGGCCACCAGTTGGCCAAACATGCAGGTACTACTTAGCTACATACGATAATGTATTGTATTTGTGTATGTACTTATTTAGCTGTGTTTAGTGAAGGCTTTTAAAGTTTGCCAATATATTTTAGCTCCCCCGTGAATTATTTGAGGTTACAAGTGGAACGTGGAACCGCCTTTAGAAACTTTATCGTTCAAGTAGAAAGACTAGTCGGGTTGCTAGTACATACATATGTACATACTTTTTATACATATATTCGGGTTTGTTTATGCATATACTCGTATGTACATATATGTGCATACACATGTGCATCTAAAAGTTGGTAGCACGTTATAAAACCTCTCTTGCAGCCAGAATGTGAATCAATAAAATAAAAGGACAAATTTAGCTGTGCTTTAAAAAGTGGCGCGATAATAAACTTGCCTATGTATGTACATATGTATGTATGTACATACGTATAATACTCTTATTTTCACATGCAGTTCAAACTATTTGTAGGCAATTTTGCAAAAACATCTTTACCAAAGGTATTATTACATAATTGTCCTCGTCATTAACTTTGCATTCGTCATTGTCGACGGAATGTCCTGCGGTAATAAATACTGCACACAAACATACACTCAAATATTTGTACATACATATATTCATTTTTATTGTAAGTTAAAAATGTTTGTCGCTTACTTAAAACAAGGTAAATAATCACCTGGTCTGTTTATTTCTTTAGTTTGGCGTATTAAAAATTGTACTTATACATATATGTACATAGTACATTAGACCGTATCACCTTAATATCAGTAAATTAAAGCTTGCCAAATATCATAAAAATTTTTCTAAGGAAACCCCAATAGAACTGCATATTTAAAAAAAATATATTTTCCAATGTTGGTGTCACCAAAAAATGTAAAAAGGCAAACCTTAGAGCTTCGGGCAAAAAACACAAAAAATTCTCGAAATTTTCTTTGCAAAAATACGCTAGACTCAGGGATGAGTGGCAGGGCCAATTGTCCGTTCATTCAAAACCCATTGCGCTTAAAAATAGGAAAATCCCGAAGTTAAATTTCATCGCATTTGGATATTTTTTAAATTCCTAAATTGGAGAAAAAAAAACAATGCCGGCACATCGTTATATTCCAGCCGATTAATTTAAGTGACATTTTTGGCGATTTTTTGTTTGTTTGTTCAATCTTTATATTTTTTTTTTTAAAGTCTAGCATATTACGTGACCAGCATCACATAAATTCAAATTTGAAAAAGATTTAAAATTCAACAACGTACAAAAATTATCAAAATTCAACAAACTTTAACAATTTCGCCCAAACATTTTCTTTTGTCCAGCATGAGGAGACCTTTCGACCGTTTCTCGTTCCATTTTGGGCCCATAAGTTTCGTATTGCTGTAAGTGTGCGATACAGCGACCGAGGACAAAAGGTGTGATCGAAACTAAATGTGATTTTCGTAGTTTTGTTCTCAAAAACGCTTCAAAACCAAAACCAAAATGACAAAAAAACGTCGAGAACGTTATCAATGGGAATTATATAAGAACAAAATAATTAATTTAAAAAAAAGAACCCTGTGGAACGATTCGAAAGAGAACAAAATGCGAACAATACTTTCGGGGACATTTCTAAGAGACCGAAATGGGAACAAAAGTTACCGGTACTTTTTGGAAAAGAAGTAAACGGGAAATCTTTCGAAGAACAATTTGAAACTAAAGTCTCAGGAACTTTCTGACAGAGAACGAAACGGGAACAAATTTTCTCTGAACTTTGAAGTGTGAATATTAAAATTAATCAAAAAAGGACTGAAAGATAATTATGCAAATTAAGTCAACGAAGGACTTACGGCACGAACTTTTCTGGCACAGAAAATGAAACATTTTTCCGGCACAAAAAAATTAAAAAAATTTCTATAAGTGGACAGTCTACCCTAATAATCTTTAAATAATGTTCTATTCGTGTACTCGCTTATACTAACATATAATAATCAGTTTTAGCTGTTAGTTGAGTTATAGCTTTTTAAAATCCTCAAAATCCTTGAAATTTATTAGCAACAAAAAATAAAGCAAATATGTGAAAGAAACACAAGTAACGCGTACATGTGTATGTACTTGCAAACAACATCAATAATCACACAAAAAATGACAAAGTCATGTCACACTTGTCTTAAGGAGATATATCCATATTCATCTATTCGTCAGCTCATCAATTCATTGTCTGGCCGCTACCCCTACACGCCCACCATGCGCTACCAATTAACGCATTGCCTTTCTCTCCTCTTGTCTCAACGTTCTTGAGCGTGTGCAGCAAAATACGGCAAGGCCGTGTGCACTGTAAAACTGTCATTAGTGGCGAAATGTCGTACGTTTTGTATTGTTTTTCTCCTTATGTCTGCGAATTATACCGAGCATACAAATATAAATACCTATGTATGTAGATTAGGGTTGTCCAAAAAAATAAAGTCGAAATTTTAATGCTCTCACCCTTTAGGATTGTTCTATGCCGAAAAGAAAAATTATACCCTTGTTTTTTTTTTTTTTTGAAATCAAAACATATTTAGTGGTCGCTCAAAACGCTCAGAGTTTTGCATGTATTTTATATCGAAAAACAAAACATTTTATTATTATTAACTATTATTAATAGTACCCTTAAAAACCTCAAATCGGTCCCCTCGTTACTTTTTTTAAGTTTTTAGGGGTTCTATAAAAAATAGTTAATAATAGAAAATGGTTAAATAAACAATTGGATATTGTCACCTGTAAACTTGTTTTTTTCATATTAAATATTTACATGGAAAACTTTGACGCTTTCAGCGACTCTAATTTTTTTTTCAAAATAAAAAAACAGGGGTAAAACGTTTTCGATGTAGAATATACCTATACCTGGGGGTGAAGATTCAAATTTCGACTTAACTTTTTCACATGCATTTTTGGACCACCCTAATGTAGGTACATACTCGTATGTTTACGTAATATATGTTGGTATATTAACCCAAAATTGTCACTTAGTCAGTCAATCAAGTAAACAAATGAATACGAGTCGGGTGATCTGACGAAAAATACCATCAGAAGCAGTGGTAGAACAATTTGCCCTGAACTGTTGGTAGTGGGCCGTGTGTTTGTTTTTTTAAAGCAAAATGCCTTTGAACAATAATAACAAAGCAAAGTAATGAAATGAAAAATGGCAACAAAATTACTTTACAAATACTTAATCATTTCGCACAAGTTAATACAAGTACTTGTACGTGCATACTTGCTCGTACATCTGATGGTGGATGGTATGTGAATATATTCCAATTTTCCTTTCTCAATATGAGGAATTAAAAACTTATATGTGAACATTAGAAAAAATTTGCTCAAATATATAATGCTTGTTCATGAGCTGAAAATATGTTAATACAAATTGTTCGATTCTCTAATTAAATCAAAGTGTTTGGCAACATAAAGGATGAAATTTCTGAACGTCAACACGGGTTCTTCCCGGGGACGAATCAAATAGTGAGTTAAGTTAAAAATCAGGAACAACTGGATGTAATTTACACAGACTTCTCTAAAGCCTTCGATAAGATTACCCACACTATACTTTTGCGGAAGTTGAGGAGTCGTGGTGTTCATGGGAAACTTATAGTGTTTTTTTTGCAAGTTTTCTGTCTAATAGAAAACTATTTGTAAAATTAGGGAGCACTATTTACATCAAGAGTCTCTATTATTTATAAACGATTTACCAAATTACTTTAAGTTTGCCAAGTACCTAATGTTTACGGATGACGTCAAACTTTGTTCCACTGTACGCGATATAAAAGATGGTAATAATCTGTAAGTTGATCTTACCTGATTCACTCAGTGATATACATTTAACCATTTCAACCTCAATATAAACAAATGCTGTGTTGTCACCTTCTCTAGAAAGTCTAGCAACGTCGTATGTAGTTATAGTATCGATAGTATAACTAGAAGCACGGAAATGAAAGATTTGAGCGTTATTTTCGACTCAAAGCTGACAATTGCTAAACATATAGACTTCACTGTATCAAATTTTTTTGCGATATTGGCTTCATTTCTGAGGATACACTACGAATTTCAAAGAGGAGGTGAGGAGCCGCCTTGAGTATTCCTCATTAATATGGAGTTCATACTATGAATTATACTCAAATAAAATTGAAAGAGTTCAAACAATTTTTACAAAAACCGCCTTGCAGAAATTACCTTGGGAAAGTGTCCTTGCACGACAAAAGATACTATTTCTCTATAATCTTTATTTATAATGTTGTAAATAGAAACATCAACTGTGAGGATTTATCCAATTCAGTCAATATATATAATACTCCGTGAAATCTAAGGAATAATCATATATTGATAGGCAGAGTGCATTCCACTAACAAACCGATTACTGGGTGCGTTAGACTGTGTATTGATATTAATCGTAGTTAAAGGATGTTCGAGCCGAATTTGTATAGTATTTTTAATTAAATAATTAAAATATTACAATTAGTCTGTAAGAAATCAATTCTGTAGACTGAACTAATAAATAAATAAATAAAAGTACATTAGGGTGTCTCAGATTTTTTCTGCAAAACTCGATATGCATAACTTCTAAATTTCTTCCCTCTTGACCTTAATAATGCTACAAGAGGAAAACTCCCAAGCAAGCAGCTGAGTACTTTTCGGTTATTTTATTGATCCCAGCCTTGTAGAGCCACAAGGCATTTCAATGCAAATCTACTTTGAAAGCAGAATCTTCCTGATCTGTGAATTGCACTCCTTTAGAGCAGTATTCTCTGCTGAAACCGATCGTTAAGCTAGCCCTACGTCCATCCGAAGCAAGCTCACCATATAATGCACACTGAGTGGTTCGGACCGCCGAACTTAAATTTATAGGTGTTTAAGTTGGAAGCTTTTCGTTTTCGATTTTTCGAGCTCTGTGAAGGACTCCAGGCTCTCTAACAATTATTTTTTCCCCTTTATTTAATTACTCCTTAAATAACATTTTTTTCTGATTTTTATTTTACAAATCCAAAATATCAGTTATTTTTATTCTTTAAATTATATATCTTAGATAAAAGTTATTGAAGACTTTTATTTATAAAAGTAGTCAATAGTTTTGTATTTTTATATTTTGTTTAGTTCGATTGTACTTATTTTAGTAGGCTTTTATATTTTGCAATACTGTTTTATTCCATTTTGTTTAATTTATTTTATTTTATTTTATTTTATTTTATTTTATTTTATTTTATTTTATTTCATTTCATTTTATTTTATTTTATATAATTTTATTTTATTTTATTTTATCTTATTTTTTATTAACCTACTTCCAAAAAAGGAGGAGGTTATCAGTTCGTCGGAATACTTATTTTCTTTGGTTTATGTTACCGCCTAACTTTGGACCACATCAACCGATTTCGATAATTCTTTTTGCATCCGAAAGGTAGTGTCCCATACTATTCTGGTTAAAATCGATCATTGGATCATTGCTGAAAATTACTTGTTATTGAATTTATTGCATTTTTATCCCCAATGAACATAGTATTTCAGTGATCAAATACTTCTCTTACAAAATTTTTCTTCACTTCCAGGTAGCGATAAAAATTATCGATAAGACATGCCTAAATCGGGAATACCTAACCAAAACATTCCGCGAGATTTCCATTTTGAAATCGCTGCGCCATGCGCATATCACTCGTCTCTATGAGGTGATGCAGTCAGAGACAATGATCTATCTTGTCACAGAGTATGCGTCCAACGGCGAGATATTCGATCATCTGGCAGAGAATGGACCTATGAAAGAGCAGGAAGCGGCGCGCGTTTTCACACAATTGGTCTCAGCCGTGCAGTATTGCCATTCGATGGGCGTGGTGCATCGTGATCTCAAAGCGGAAAATGTTTTGCTCGATAAGGATATGAATATCAAGGTAAGAGTGTCGAACAAAATGCACACATATAGTAGTAATACTTACCTGAATACTAACAACCGAAACATCAAATCATTTTCGTTGCACAGCTCGCTGACTTCGGCTTCAGTAATCGCTACGAAGAGGGCAATCCGTTGACAACGTGGTGCGGTTCGCCACCATACGCCGCACCTGAAGTATTTCAGGGTCTGGAATATGATGGACCCAAAGCAGACATATGGAGCTTGGGCGTCGTGCTGTACGCGCTAGTGTGCGGTGCACTGCCTTTCAATGGTGATACGCTGCTGGAGTTGAAAGGACGCGTAGTTACTGGAAAATTTCGCATACCATACTTTATGTCACGAGGTAAGTTTAAATGTTAATTTCAATATAAATGGATTGATTGGAATGAATGTATGCACATATGTACATATGTAAATGTTTTCAAAAATTTTCACATTACTCTTTCTCTCCATTTTTGTCACTGTAACGTGGTTTAGACTGTGAGCACCTCTTACGTAATATGCTGGTCGTTGAGCCAGATCGACGTTATACATTAAAACAAATTATAAAACATCGCTGGCTAAGCGATTGGGCAGCGGAACTAGATGATTACGCACAACATTCCGACAGCAGTCCACTTGCGCGTAGCGACAGCAATAGCAGCTGCAATGCGCAAACGACAGCGACTGTTGCCAACCTAGATACGGAGATAATGAAGAATATGCTACAATTGCCTGGACTGACCGCCGATATGATTGCCGAGTCGGTGCATAATCATCGCTTCGATAATATATATGCCATTTATTATTTGCTTGCCGATAAGTTGCAGCAAAGGCGACGAGAACAACATAGAATGCAGCATCAAGCTGCCTATTCAAGGTACTGCATGCATAGTATTTAGAAACATTTTAAGTTACATATGCATACTTACTTATCAACAGATGTAATCATAAGTTTTTTTTTTAATAACATACGTATATATCTACTTCATTGCACGGTTAAATTCTGCTGTGGTTTAAACTTAGTTTAAATGCTCGAGGTTGCTGCTTTAAACTGAGATTAACCAATCAAATGTCCGCCGGCTCTTAAATATGAACGCAGTTTACGTGATATAAGTTTAAACTGGCCCTAAGTGAAAATATTCTGCCTTATCCTGAGCTTCGCCTGAAAAAAGAATTCACTTATATAACAATAATAATTGCATATTAAGCAAAATCAGTTCTGTTCATGACCGTATTTTTCATAATTTTACTATTTGTATTCTTACTCGATGATATAACCTGACTTCGTAAACATAGAGTGGGTTGGTAATATTTACTTTATGCCTAGGCTTTTGTTCCTGAGCAAAGCGTTATGGCTTAGGTAAACAGAGAATAAACAAAAATTATCTCATGAAAATTTCCACTGAAAGGCTAGAACCCCATAGACCACGCTACTTGGTAATCAGCTGATTCCAATACAAAATTATTCTAGTTTTTTTCGTCACGACAATTTGAAGACATCGTACGTTTAGGACCCGGTCAAAGTTCATCATCAGTAGCGAAGCCACAACTGGTCGTATAGCTGACTTAAGTTCCAACTGCCTAAAAGCTTCCCATACCACCTACAGGCAGCTCAGAAGCCATTGAAAGGGAAGTTGATTAATCTCGAATTTTTCACCATTTTAAAGCTGATCCCGAATCGAATTAAATAAAATGGCAGCTGCTCCCCTGAACTCTCTCTCTTAATTATGGCACGGAGCCACGTAATCTGTATACCCTACAAATTCACCTGACGCCGCCAACCTTAGGCTGGTTTCGCTTCAAAATTCTCTAATTTGAGGTCTATGGACGCCGTGGCAGTTGTCCTCAGCACCTCCGTTATAGGAGTACATACATATGTAAGGCAGCCGTACGTACAGCGCGTTTTCGTTATTTTTTTAACTCTGCTCTCCAAAGCAGTTTGCCAAGGTATTCCCTACATTTTAAAATTTTTATTACACTACAGCTGAATTTAAAAACTAACATTACCTATATATTTTAGAAAACATTTCAGTGAACCTTTTTAAAAAATATTTAAATGTTTTATTTCAGATTACGCAAAACTAGTATCACTACTGGTGTGGTCGATCGCTCTGAGCCAATCAAACAGGAGTCGGTCGATCGCTTAAGTCCACTTACCAACACCAATGCACTACAAAGTGGATTAGGATTTCATTGGAGCGATGTTTCGGTGGATTTAGAGAAATTCGGCGATTTCGAATTAGAATGTCTGGCGCGACCGAATGAGGTCAGTTTAGAATTTCCACAATTACAAAAGAAAACTGTTTTACATATGTATTCAATTTCAATTCATAGCCACAAAACCAAAATCAAAATCACCTGTGTGCCAATGCCGGTGGAAACGGCACTAATACGCGGCGACATACTGTGGGTCCTGGCGATGTGGCACACGAACAGGCGCTTGCCAATCCAAATGTGCCGCCAATCAATTTCAAGTGCACACCAGAGAATAAAGACGAGACTGGTGCCTACTTGCCAATGAACCTGCCAATGTTACAAAATCAACCGCTACACAATTTAACCATAAAGGATCAGCATCTATTGAAGCCACCAGTGGTGATGGGTGCCAGTAGGTTTTAAAATAAATATTCATATTACATCCAATTAACCCCTCGTTTGTGTATATTTTCTTAGGTTCATTTGGACGTCGCGCTTCTGACGGTGGCGCCAATCTACACATCTACTATCCTTCTTCGGTAAATAATATGCAACAAGTTGCCGGTCAAGCGCAACAAATGGACGCGAATGCATATTATATCAGTCCGAATGTGGCAAATCCTGCAGGCCTAAGCGGCGCGCCAACAGATCGTATGCTGGGTCAAGGTGTGGGCGAACAAACACAACTGCAACAGTTGGGTGCCGGCGATTCTGTGAGCGAGGAGAACAACGAGGAGATACAAAAGTGAGTAAAGTGTGGGGAAGTTGGGAAAGCTATCAAGAACTGCATATTTCTATTTTAAATACAAATACATACATCTATCTATTGTAATAAGTGTGTATGAACCTCAGAGAAGAATTTCTTATCTACACTTATTGGACAGCGTCGAAGCCAAAGCTCCTGACCACCTTAATTAGATACATATTTTCGGCCAATAGAATTATTTAAATAAAAATGCACTTTAAGGTTAAGACTACAGTTAATACGATTATAGCCTTTAGACATTACCTTCTGTGCTTCTTATTGACAATCTTCTCCCGATAGACTGATGGGTAAAGAACTTAAAGCTAGATCACAGATATTTGAATCAAAATTAAACAAATAAATGTTTGAGTCTCGGAAACTCAGTGTTAGCTCGAGGACCAAAGATATCTCCTCTTATGTCTTCTGCAATTTTCAAGCCGTCTGTTTACCTGTACAGCGTGTAAGCCGAGAAGTGTTTCTCTATAAATTGTCTCTACACGGCTACTGGACGTCGTGAAGCCAAATCTACATTTCCATTTGTTATAATTGGTTGTACGGTCATAGTTATCATCCACTTGGAACCTGTTTATATCGTCCACCCATTTTTGCAATAAGTTTTCACTGGGTGTTCGTACATTGCCCCACTTTACAGGGGTAGTGAACCCACCTTCTTCCTTTCGTTTTTTTCTCCATGCAGAGACTTGGCGTTAGAGTTAAAAGTAGCAAGATCATCTACATGCTCCAGCATTACAAATCGCCAGCATCAGAAATCGTCAACATCAGAGATCGTATTGAAATTCGTCGCCTTTTATTGAACCTCGTTTAGATTCGTAGGACTCGCAGAGTTCTTTCCCAACCTGGACAGAGCAGAAGGTTATGCTCAACGTCCTTCTATACAGCCATATGAGTTTTCAAGGGATCCCAAATTTAGTAGCTCTTCATTCAAAGTATAGTCCATGATATAAGATCCCAAGGATTACCCTATGATAAATGGTGCTGGAGCTGGATGGAATCTGGACGGTAAGTTCAGATGCCCTGCTGATTTTGGTGCAATGGCAACGGTGTTTCAATCGGAATTCTATGCAATACTGAAAGTGGCAGCCTGAATAATTGGCGAAAGGTGGCGCGGACATGAAATCTGGGTCTGCGGTGCCAGCCAAGCTGCTATAAAAGCCATGGAAACCGCTCGCACCTCTTAAATAATATAGTCCAGGAATGTAAATAAGTTGAAGCTGAACTCCGTTATAAGATTGAATGAGCTTGATCTGTGGTAATCGAGTCAACGAACTGGCTGATGAATTGGCGAACTGCGGCTCCCTGGACTGGAGACAATTTTAAGGCCAAGCATAGCGGGAACTCTTGGGGGTACATCAAGGATTACATTAATAAAAACTCATGAGAGTCGTTGCGGTGTTTCCTGAAAAGGTCTGACAGGATGGTAGCAAAGTTCTCAGACACAGAAGAAACAATCCACGGGGACGACATATCGTCGGTCCGTACGAAGAGTAGCACATTTCACTATTCGCGTGGAAGACTAGCACATT